CTGGTTGGTGTGATCCACCTCTGCCCACCTGTCACCACAACCAGACCTCACGACACCACCAGGGAGGTCATCACCTGTGTACCCATTCATCTCATCACACGTGAGGTTCCATCGCCCATTCTCACCTTTTTCACTGTTATTGTCCCTGGTCTAGCCACCTCCATAAAGTCTGCACAAGTCACTTGCGCTCCTTCTCTCCCTTTCTTTCCGTTCAGCATCCACTCTCTAGACCACTGTTATGTTCTGCAGTGATGAAGGGCGATACCAGAGCAAGTGGCCGGGAGGGGGGGGGACACATATGGCTGTGACACTCCCGAAGTGTTCAATGCTAAAGACTTTGACAAAGGCTGCAGTGTTGAAACAGGGGTGGGGCAGGACACCCAGGCCAACCATAATACCTCTTCTGTTTTTTTGGAACCAACAATGTCTCCTTAAAGTAAATGTCAGTTAGTATTTAAGTCTACTTCAAGAGCGGAACTGTAATTTGCCCATTTGGTTCAGCCATCAGATCTACAGCGAAATGAAACTATACTTTACCGGCGGTCGCCCAAGGGTCGGCTTCTGTCCAGCACATCCTGCGCTTGGCCCTTGCGGAGTAGTAAATAGCATCAGCTCGGCCTCACTGAGGCCAGGGTTCGAAGGTCCCTCAGCGGGAACATCTGGAGTGGATATAATAACAATCTGTTGCTCAGCCACATGAAATGTGCCAGCTTCCCAAATAGTTCCTAGCTCACCTTCCACGCAGCCATAGGTCACCCCAAAGTCCTGGGACATGATCATAGGGGTTATTCCCTCAGCCTTAAAGTCCATCCAGGTGCCATGTCCTCAACTCTATAAAATCACTGGAGCCTACATTGGAATCCCAAACAGGAGCTTGCTGGGGAAAGCGAGATTTCAGGCTGAATAAACACTCCTGGCAACCAGTGGCCAATTGTAAAAATGCTGAATGACTTGGGGAAGGCAGTAAAGAAAAAAAATACAGCTTGGGAATCCTTTAAAAGTGCCGCTGCTCAAACCTTGGGCCAATAAACGAGCTCAGGCATCCATTAAAAAGTCAGTAAGTCAACCTCAGAGAGCAAGAACGGGGTGGCACACTCGTTAAAAGTTCACTCGTTGGTAGCGGCAATGATGTGCGACGTGTCAAAAATGTGCACAGTGCTGTAAAACTCCGTCACCAAAACAAACTAAAAATCAGATTTAGGATCCAGTCCTACGTGTGCAAAGCGGCGTTTAAATACTTCCGAAGTGCGATGAACCTTTAAATGCAAGTCAGTGCTGGTACAAGTGCAAAGAGCGTTGAAACGAGCGTCAGTCCAAAAAAATGATGTAGCATCAATCCAAAAAGGATGCAGGATGAGTGAGGAACAATGGAGGGGACCTTTAAATGTAAATCAGTCCTGGCAGGGGTGCAATGCAATGGGTGACAACCAGTCCTGGTGGGGGTGCAATGTGAAGGATGGCAAACAATCCTGGCAAAGGGTGACAATCAGTCCTGGTAAGGATGCAATCCAAAGGGTGACAATCAGTCCTGGTAGGGATGCGATCCAAAGGGTGGCAATCAGTCCTGGTAGGGATGCAATGCAGAGGGTGACAATCAGTCCTGGTAGGGATGCAATGTGAAGGATGACAATCAATCCTGGGAGAGGTGCAATGCAAAGGATGTTGGAACAATGTGATGATGCAGTGTCAATCCAAAAAAAAGATGCAGGATGGATTAGAAACAAGGCAATGGGCCTTGAAATCAGTCCTGGTAGGGATGCAATGCAATCCAAAGGGTGACAATCAGTCCTAGTAGGGACGCAATGCAATATGTGGCAGTCAGTCCTGGTAGGGATGCAATGTAATGGGTGACAATCAGTCCTGGTAGGGATCCAATGCAATGCAGAGGGTGACAATCAGTACTGGTAGGGACTCAATGCAATGGTTGGCTGTCAGTCCTGTTAGGGTCGCAATGTAATGCAATGGGCGGCAGTCAGTCCTGTTAGGGTCGCAATGTAATGCAATGGGCGGCAGTCAGTCCTGGTAAGGACGCAATGCAACGCAGAGGGTGGCAGTCAGTCCTGGTAGGGATGCAATGCAAAAGGATGTCAAAACAATGCAACAGTGCAGTGTACTTCTAAAAATCAATGCAGCGTCAATCCAGGCGAGTGAAACACTGCAATGTAAATCCGAAATGACGCAACGCTGAGGCAAAAATGTAGAAAAAAAATAAGTTCAAAATGGCATTTAAATACTGCAAAGGTAAATCAGTCCAGGTACACACGCAACGTATGACAAAACAGCGCAAAGACGACTCACAGGTCTAAAACCAATGCAGCGTAAATCAAAAACAATGCAAAATTTACAGAAGGCAACAAAAAGGCGCAGAATGGAAAAAAATAAGTCAGCTGCAACTTCCAAAGTGTGATTGAAAGCAAAATGAATTGCAATGAGATTCTCAGGGTGCATGCAAAAGTTTAAAACGTCTTCCTGCAATGATTGCTCAGGTGCAGCAACAAAAAATAGTCCAAGGCTGCAGATCCCGAGCCCAGTGCGGCATGCAAGCTCCAGGGATGCCCTACAGAGCACAAAACTGGCACGCAATGTACTAAGGCAATTTAATAGTCTATTAAAAGCGCTTTATGTCTGGATTTGAGATCTGCAAGTGCTAAAAGTGAAAGTCAGAATGGAAGGGGGGAGCTGCGGTGACGGCACACTAAAATGGACACAAGCCGGATTCGCTGTGGAAAGTTGCAGCAACTTTAGGCCGGATTCCATGGGGCTTGTGGGAGCTCCCGGGATAAAATCGGAAGTGTTCACTGAGAGAAAACCCTCGCCGGAGGTGAGCCCCTACTCGCCTGTCACGAAAGAGCGGTTCGGTGACCGAGCCCCTGCTCCGAGATCGCTATTGTTTTGCCCTTGCCAGCTGATCTCCGGGTCCACCAGCGCTCGCCCATTTGCGCGCCAATTCCTTTTTTGCCGCGAAACCTGGGGGCAACGTCACCGGCCACTCGCCATTGGCTGCCGGAGATGCGGGAGGCTCGCGATTGGTCGAGAGGGCGTTCGAACAGGGCGGGCGGGAAAGAGGGCGCTGTGAGTGGCGCGGAACCCAGCCAATGGGAGGCGGGAGCTGAGCAAAACAAGGACGGTGATTGGAAAAACGCGTGGGCGGTGGGTGGAGACAGTTTCCTGACAGGAAACAAACTCTGTCTAGGAGAGTGCACCGGGGACTGGGGAGGATTGAATGGGGAGTGACATATGTGTGTGCCATGATGCCGCTGGGTCAGGTCACCCAGTGAGAGAAAAAAAAGTTTTATATATTTTTTTATATTTTTTATACACAATATATAAAACAAAAAAAAAACAAGTTCTATGAAGTGTACAGTATTAAAGGCTCATAGGGTTAGAGGAGGCCCACCAGCTGTTGTGGAACTACGAGTCCCATGATGCATTGCAAGGCTCTGACAGCCACAGGCATGACTCGCAGAGGCATTATGGGATTTGTTGTTTCACCATAGCTGGAATGCTAAGGTTGCCTACCTCTGGGTTACTGCCAAATAACCTAATTAAAAAAGTGATTATTGTGATTAAAGGCTGGCTCCAACTAAACATGTTTCTTGTACAAAGCAGGCATTGCAAACAAATATAAATACAGTTATATTAAAGTGTAAATAAACCAAGACGCCATTTTGTGAATTTGTTGCTGTTTCCTGCCAGTCACAGCACTTCCTGTTGCTAGGCCTTTTCCTGGCTATTAGCAGCAGCGTTGTGAGCCTTGCCGTGTGTGCTTTTTTTTTTTGTAGTTGGCCCTTGGGCTGCCTATCTGATAGTCCTGAGAAGCACCCCAACAGCCAATTAATCAAAACGCACACGGCAAGTGTGACAACGCCGCTGTGCATCCTGTTCCAATCAGCAGGACATCTGTTTATGGATACTGTGCTTTAGGTCAGGGGTAGCCAAACTCCGGCCCTCCAGCTGTGGTGAAACTACACATCTCCGGATGCATTTCTCTCCGCGAGTCATCTCTTGTAATGTCTCATGGGATTTGTAGTTCCACCACAGCTGGAGGGCCGGAGTTTGGCTACCCCTGCTTTAGGCCCATGTGGAAAAGGACCTAAAGCTCAGCAATCCATTCAATTATATGGTATGAAATCAGGCAGGCACCTTGTACTACATAGTTGAAGTTGATGGCAGACCTACAGGAGATTGTACATCCAGATTGCTTTGTGTATAGCAGGGGTGGGTAAACTGTGGCCCTCCAGCTGTTGTGGCACTACAAATCCCATGAGGCATTGCAAGATTCTCACAGGCATGACTACCAGAGACAGATGCATTAAGAGATTTATAGTTTCACCACAGCTGGAGGGCCAACGTTTGCCCACCGCTGATGTGTGGTCATGACAGGTTTGCTTTATGGTGCCATAGGTGACATGCATGCCCCCTCACTCAGCACAGTTTTGGGATATGTTATATATTTTGCACTGCGGGAAGATCTCAGCAGCAGGCCGCACGGGGCACTTTGCTTACAAGCGTCTTCTATGTCAAGAGATTATGCACGGAGCAATGTGAAGAGAAAGATAAGAGAGAAATGACACATCATTATTTACATAATACATACGTACAGTATAATGTCTATATGAACGCCGGCTCGTCTGACCCCAGAGTGAAATTCATAGGAGGAGTTCCCACGGCGCATATAGGTGACATAAGAGCAAACCTGTCATGAAAATAAATAAATGGATCCTGCCATTGCTGACCTCCTTCCAAAAATACATATTGCCTGGCTGTTCTGTGAATGCTTTGGCTTTGATACGTGAAGTCACTGACCTGGAACAAATACAGAGATAAGGAATGACCAAAACTGGAGCAGACAGAATCTGGAGCAGTTGCCCATGGCGACCAACCAGCTTCTATCTTCCGTTTGCTCAGTCAAGCCTTGAAAGATAGAAGCTCTAGATTCCGTCAGCTCCTCTCTTTTATTTTCAAAGCTTAACTGAACAAACTGGAGAGAGAAGCTGTTTCTGAACAACTGCTCTAGTTTTGGGGCCCGTTCACACGCTATCCAGTGGGTTCTGTGCCCTGAACACACTCGATTGCATAAACCAAAGCCTCCCGTGTCCTGGTGGTGCCATTCATGCACTATTGTTTGCAATCGCACCGCACTGGACATTAAAGTACCACACGTTCTGGTGCAGGCGATCGCACTGCGGGCGGGAGTAGTGTCGGCAGTGCCATTGACGTGAATGGCACCACCACACCTCCTCCCGCCCCAGAACACAGGGGGCTTGATTCATGCAATCCAGTGCGTTCAGGGCACGGAACGGGCCCTTAATAAATCCCCCCAGTTAATTTATTGTGACAGGTGCTCTTTATAACAGAGAGATGACAGAAGTGTGTCATAACAACCAATCAGAAGCCAGAAATGAGTAGTTCGTTTTCAGTGACGTTGGGTTGGCTGGGAACAGAAACAGACAAGATGTTGGTTGATGCAGAACCAATTTTCACCCCAATTTATTAAAGGGGAACTCCTGTTGTATTCATGCAATAGGCTCCAAATCTACCATCTTGTATTATACCCAATTTTAAAGAACCCAGGGCAAACCTTTCTTAACCCTTGCAGTGGGGCTACCGCTGCACTGCAAGGGTTAAGTGCTCGTTTCCATCTAGGTGTGATAACTATACTCACCGAATTTCGGAGCCCGCTGCCTGTGTGACCCGTCCCCCACAGGCTCTGCCCCCGAGACCCGTCCCCACAGGCTCTGCCCCCGAGACCCGTCCCCACAGGCTCTGCCCCCGAGACCCGTCCCCACAGGCTCTGCCCCCGAGACCCGTCCCCACAGGCTCTGCCCCCGAGACCCGTCCCCACAGGCTCTGCCCCCGAGACCCGTCCCCACAGGCTCTGCCCCCGAGACCCGTCCCCACAGGCTCTGCCCCCGAGACCCGTCCCCACAGGCTCTGCCCCCGAGACCCGTCCCCACAGGCTCTGCCCCCGAGACCCGTCCCCACAGGCTCTGCCCCCGAGACCCGTCCCCACAGGCTCTGCCCCCGAGACCCGTCCCCACAGGCTCTGCCCCCGAGACCCGTCCCCACAGGCTCTGCCCCCGAGACCCGTCCCCACAGGCTCTGCCCCCGAGACCCGTCCCCACAGGCTCTGCCCCCGAGACCCGTCCCCACAGGCTCTGCCCCCGAGACCCGTCCCCACAGGCTCTGCCCCCGAGACCCGTCCCCACAGGCTCTGCCCCCGAGACCCGTCCCCACAGGCTCTGCCCCCGAGACCCGTCCCCACAGGCTCTGCCCCCGAGACCCGTCCCCACAGGCTCTGCCCCCGAGACCCGTCCCCACAGGCTCTGCCCCCGAGACCCGTCCCCTGCCCCCGAGACCCGTCCCCACTGGCTCCGCCCCCCTCCACCCCAGTGGTCTAAGGTCCGTTAGTCATCACATCCAATACAGCGTATAGCATGTAAGGGACCTACGATAGCTGGAGCGGAGGGGGAAACAGGCTGTGTGGGCCGGTCTAGCCTCCAGCTGGCTCGGAGGTTCGGGTGAGCATTGTAGTGTCCGGCGTTTCCTAAAAGCAGGTCATAAAATCAGCATCTTTTAATAACAATAATCTGCTTCATTGTCAGAGATTTTCCCCGTAACCATTTCTAAACTCCACAGAAAAATGAAAACACAGAAAGACATTTTATTGCAAGGTTTCGATTTATTAAAAATGATTTACTGCTATATATTTACAATTTCCACTCATTAAAAAAAGAAATATTATTATAATTCATGAGAGTTTGTTACTAGGAAGAGATCATAAAAATGATGGGAAATATGACAAAGAAAACCCGACCCGGCCTAAAATGTCTCAACGTGCCGCAGCGTGTATATAAGGTTCCTCAGAACTGTACAGTCATAGAACGTATTATTCATGGAACATTGGGATGAAATATTCTGGATCAGATCTAAAGTGATAAAAAACAACAACAACTGAAAATGTTTTCGATTATAACTAGGGATGCTCCGATACCGATAATAGTATTGGTGCCGATACTGAGTATTTGGGCCAGTACGAGTGCTCACCCAAATGCTCAGATACCTTCCCCGATACTGGAACTTCCAGTCAGTGCCGCGGGGAAGCATGGAGCCTGGTTCCGGGCCAACCTGGAAGCCTGGCGGCGGGTCATGACCCACCTCCTGGATTCCTGATTGGCTAGGAAGCCGGCTACACTTGCTGCTAGGCAGCCTGGCTTCCTGACCAATCAGGAAGCCAGGCAGCACGTCATGACCCACTGGCCGGTTTCCTGATTGGGTCAGAAAGCCAGGCTGCCTCGCAGCGTTGCGAAGCCGGTGTTCTTTCAATAGAACACTGGCTTTCCAAGCAATCAGGAAGCCGGGTGGCGGCGGGGCCTGATAATACAGTACCTTGGGATGCTTCTATTTGCAAATACAGAGAAAAAAAAAAAAAAAAGTATCTGTACTCGATACTGAAAAACCGGTATCGGTGCATCCCTAATTATTACCTATTTATCTTAATCAATAACATCCATAAAGAGACGCTGGGCAAACTATAGCATGAGTGCAAAACTCTAAGGGGATGATATATAAAAGGTCCGCCCAGCCGCAGAGTGACTGCCATTCCCACCACTCGATGGAGCTGAAGATGCTCCTTGGCTCCATCTAGTGGTGAAAATTCAGTGCAAATGGCATTAGCCCAGCGTATGGCCGGGCAGAAGTTTTAAATCATTCACTATGCCCTCATTCACACTGTAATCGGCCCGCAAGTACAGCTCCGTGTATGGCCGTATCGAGCAGCTCCCGGGAAGTACAGGTCTTGCGTGTGATTAGTATGCAGCCCCCGTCCTTCTCTATGGGAGTACGTGGCCGTACGCCCCCCTACGCTGACCCGCCCTGCAAGTCCTTACGGGTGAGCGCACTCGTACGCTGACAGGATGGATCCTGTCTGCGTCCAAATCAGGAAACACACACCTCTATGGACCTGCACTTGAGGTGAGCGTAGGGCGGCGTAGTATCAGAGAAGGAGGGGGGCTGCGTACTAATCAGACGCAGCACCTGTCCTTCCCAGGAGCTGCTCGATACGGCCGTGCACGCAGCACGGAGCTGTACGTGTGGGCCGATTACAGTGTGAATGAGGCCTTAGGCTCCGTTCACACCTAGGCGTGTTTTCGTGCATATTCGGTACGTCCAGCGTGTTTAGCACATTTTTGTGTTGGACACACGCACATGAAGGAGTGCGTTTTAGCTAAGGACTGGTAAGCTGCAATAGATCACACTTTTGTTTTAGGGTTTGGATACGCTTCAGAAGACCAAAATTATTTACTAAGCAAGCTTGTACAAAGCAGACTTTTGCTTAGACCAGAACCTATCCACCAGATATGGGGGG